TTTTTTTTGTTTTCATTCTTCTCAGTTCTCACGAATAGTTTGAGCGTTGGATAAGCTGTCAACACCTTGATTCTCCAAGAATGTGAACTACACGAGAGTCATCGTGCACCCGCGCGTCTGTTCGCCATGAGTTGATTGGTACATTACAATCAACACATCTAGACTCGCGGCCCTATAGTTGTATAATATAAGTTCCTACAAAATTTAAAGATCTTAGGACGCGATTTGATTGGTACATTACAATTCAAATCATAATTTTTTTATCCTCTTAAAATTTCCACCGTATTATAGAAGATATATCAAATTAATTAACAAAAAATAAGATTTGACATTTGATATTATTTGATTGGTATATCAAATTAATTAACTGTTTAATTTTCAAAAACAAAAATATAGAGATTCAATTCTCAAGATATACATTTTTGACTTAATTTTTAGTATATTAGTTTTATTGTGGCTATTTAATTGGCTACAACTTAATTAATTTGTTTACCTTTGGTTATATACTTTTGTTTAATATATACTTGTGAATATTTATGGGCGTAATCACATAAATTTAATTTCAACTCCAAAGCCAGCTTCAAATTCTCCGTTTTATTTTAGTGTTCTCTTAGGTTTGTAAACGAGTCAACCTCAAGCTTAGAGTGTTCGAGCTTTAGCTCGAGCTTAGAGTGCTCGAGCACTTAGCTCGGCTCGTTAAATAAACGATCCTAAAAATAGAGCTCGACTCGTTTATCACTATTAACGAGCTGAATTCGAGTCTTAACGACCCGATCTCGTGTTTTAACAATTTGAACTATAGAAAATTATAAAAAATACCAAATAATACAATGCAAGCAAAAGTCTCCTTTCTAGCTTTATCGAACCTTATCGAGCCGAGCCAAGCTGGTTTAATTTAAAAGCACCACACTTCACTATACTCCGCAAATTAACTTGGGCTATCCTAGTTTGAGCTCGCATCAGCCCAATAAATAATTGAACTTGGATTTCATACCCAACGAATTGGGCCAAAATATATCAAATTTGTAGCCCAGGCTGACGTGAGATCTCACTTGTTGACTTTCGCCGATGTGCTGACTAGACAATAGTGTCTCAAGTCAATGAATAAAAAGAATGTATANTTGTCTTTTCATGCCATAGAAAAAAGAAAATACATTACTCTTTGTATAATATAGGTTTTAAATATTCAAAGACTCAATTATTCGATATAGACTACATTTTATTAAATTTCAAGAAACTGGATGGATGTCAAACGAGTGGAGTCAAATATTGTTTCTATCGAGTTTGGGCTTAATTTTTCGACTATTGTTTGAACATTTTTAGCCTCTTCTCCATCGGACAAGAAAACGCAAACACTGTAGATTAGTTCGAACTTTAATTATTCAAATTAAAATTGCAATATTTTTTTTTAGTTGGGGTATTTTGTTAATTTCACATATACTTGAATTCATCGAGATTCAGACATACAAACTGCAAAACTTGAGCTTGGTTTGAGTTCGAATTCGAGCTGCTGGAACTCGATTTGAGCATGGTCAAATTCCTATTCAAGTCGCGACTGTTTAAACATAGTGATTATTTGTGTGAATTCTTAATTCGTTTATAATCATAATTAGTCCATGTGTAAAGAGAATTAGATTTAAAAAAAAATAAAGTAAATAAATACTAAGACCAACATTTGTCCTAAGCCGCTGTTTTGGTGCAGCCACTGGTTTTTATTTTTCATTAATACCTTATTCATAGCAAAAAATACTCCATCCCACAAGATTTTTAAGGGCAATTTTTCTACCTTTTATGACCTTTTATTCTGTCATTCTGAGAGCCTAATTTTCCTACCAACCAATTGGCACTGATCCATTTGTACTTTTCTTGCAATCCAAGCCCACAATAACTTTCCCCCTTTCGGCTTCCTGTTGTTTTCAGCCGCAAGTTTTAAAATAAATATCCTCCTGATAAATGTCAATAAATCAATTTATGGATAATCTTATAAAAAATCCACCGCTAGCTCTATTGAATTTTCGAAATACATGTTCATGTGCCCATTAAAAGTTGGCAAGTACTATAACTAATAAATTCAAGTAAACATCAATGTGAGGAAATTTTTGTTACTTGTAGTGGTGGATTGATTAATAACTTCTCAAACTGACGCATTAACTTTATGTTTTGACAATGGACTTAACTGAAAATTTAGGATTAATTTTGCCTGAAAAGATTTTTGCAAAAAGCTTCATTCATTTGTATACATTGGTGTACACTGTTACCTTGAATAATTATTGTTAAGAAATCATACCTAACTACCCAGAAATTATCAAGAATTTGAATCTTTTACTTGTACGAATTTCCTAATTTCAAAAGATACATAAAACACACAAATTTCTAAACATATTAAGGTCCTCTTCATTTATTCAAATCCAAATTCCATATTTGGTGTGACCAAGAGAGTGTAGGGGTATAAATGTCAAATCAGTAATCACCCAAAAAAGTTAGTTGCTTGGGCAAGGGGTCTTAATCGACGGCCCAAATGTCAGCCCGTTTCGTATAAAACCCCCCGCCCCGTTGCTCATTCACTCACTCGAATAATTTTCGTTCTTATTATTCGTTTTCAGACTCTCTGTAGCCATGTCTTGCTACCGTGGAAAGTACGCTGGTAATTTTTCTCCCTTTTTTTTTCAGCTTAATTGCTCATCGGCATTTGAATTGAGTGGTTTAATTCAATCGTTTATGCACTAGATCCTGGCTTCGTTTGATCTCGAATTGTTTTGATTATTTTCTTCTTTTTTGTTACTTGGTTAATCATCGTCAGATCTGAAATCCTCTGTTTTTTTCCTGTTTGATTTTGTAATGTTTTTGCTGATTTGATGTATGATATTGTGAAATATAGTTTGATTAGTTGTTTTAATCATGCTCGTGGTTAGAGATTCAGATGATTTTTTTGGGTTCAATCACCATGTCCGATTGAAGCTTATAGTTCTGTGCTAAAGAGTGATTGTGAATGTTGCCGAGCTTCTCTTTGAGCCTATTTCTTTCGATTTAATTTTTGCTTGTTTTTATGATCTATGTTCTGTTTGTTAATCGGGGTTAGTTCCATCCGTTTTATCTGTACGAGCTTCGCTGTGAATTGTGCTGTGTTATATTGTAAAAATGAATCCTAAATTGCATTTTGCACCTCTGCACATAGTTAATTAATGTTTGTGGTCATTTATTAAATCTATAAGAATACACACATTTTCAGGTGAAATTGTGATGGAAATAAATTTATTTGTTCTCCAGTAGGTTGGCTTTGCCCGTGAATTGTGCATCTATCATTCCTTCTATTTACTTGATGCTTCTGCACCCGTGAGTGGCTTTGCTTGATAGCTTCTCGATTCTATTGTAAATCTGATTCTAGTATGCATTTTTCACCAGCACATAATTGATGTTTTTTTAGGTTTGCTTAATCTCTGAGAACATTATGTTTCAATAGTATAATGAAATTTTTCGGAAATATTCTACTGGTGTATGTAAACTTATTCACTTAGATCCTTTCCCCTTTCTATGTCTGCAGATGAACTTATTGCCAATGCTAAATACATCGGCACTCCTGGAAAAGGTATTCTTGCTGCCGACGAGTCCACTGGCACTATTGGCAAGCGCCTCTCGAGCATCAACGTTGAGAACAACGAGTCGAACAGGCGAGCCCTCCGTGAGCTTCTCTTCACCACTCCAGGTGCCCTTCAGTACTTGAGTGGCGTCATCCTTTTCGAGGAAACTCTCTTCCAGAAAACAGCTGCAGGTATATACACATATAATGAATTGCTTCTTTTTTCAGTACTAGATAATAATGAATTGCTTCTTTTTTTTCAGATATATTAAAATTTTGTTTTGATCTTTTGCAGGTAAACCATTTGTGGAAGTTCTGAAAGAAGGCGGGGTTCTCCCGGGCATCAAGGTCGACAAAGGCACAGTTGAGCTCGCCGGAACTAACGGCGAGACCACCACCCAAGGCCTCGACGGGCTAGCCCAGCGCTGCCAGCAGTACTACACTGCCGGGGCCCGCTTCGCCAAGTGGCGGGCCGTCCTCAAAATTGGGCCCAACGAGCCTTCCCAGCTGGCCATCAACGAAAACGCAAACGGGCTGGCCCGATACGCCATCATCTGCCAGGAGAACGGGCTCGTCCCCATAGTCGAGCCCGAAATTCTCGTCGACGGGCCCCACGACATTAACCGATGCGCTGACATCACCGAACGAGTCTTGGCTGCTTGCTACAAGGCTCTTAACGATCACCATGTACTTCTTGAGGGAACCCTTTTGAAGCCGAACATGGTCACGCCTGGCTCGGAATCTAAGAAAGTTGCTCCTGAGGTGATTGCTGAGTATACTGTGCGGGCCCTACAGAGGACGATGCCGCCAGCTGTCCCGGCTGTGGTTTTCTTGTCGGGTGGGCAGAGTGAGGAAGAGGCTACTGTTAATCTGAATGCCATGAACAAGCTCGAGGGGAAGAAGCCGTGGAGCTTGTCCTTCTCGTTCGGGCGGGCCCTGCAGCAAAGCACGCTAAAGGCGTGGGCCGGCAAGGAGGAGAATATTCCCAAGGCCCAGGCGGCTTTTCTTGCCAGGTGCAAGGCGAATTCTGAGGCGACACTCGGGACTTACAAGGGGAGTGGTTCGCTGAGCGAGGGTGCATCGGAGAGCCTACATGTGAAGGACTACAAGTACTGATGAGGGCCGGGCTTTTGGGGTTACGGGCCGAGCTTTTTATTTTGTTTTTGTTTTTTGTTTTTTTTTTTTTCTGCTNTTTAACTGTTTTCATGTTTTGCATTCGATGTGTTTAATAAAAAAATTGAGGGACACGAGATGTTTTTGATGTTATAATGATGAGGCTTCTTGCCTTTTGTGAAACATGCAATTTGCATGTATTTGTGTGATCCAACGGTTAAAATTATTCCTGGTATAATTTGGTGTGTTGATAATGCAGGCACTAGCAGGCCCGCTTGGTTGAATTTGTTGAACTTCAATTTGCTCATTGGATGTACGTTTCACTTGGACCATCTGGAATGATAAATACAACTGCTCTTCGTAGACAATGTCTAATTTCTAGATTTTGGGACCATTTACGTGGCTTGGTCGACCATTTGTGAAAGTCAATTAGTAAAATGACTTCGAGGTGGCAGTGGAATGGGTTGGGCCTGCTTGCCTGAACTCTTGGGCGAACACCTAAAAGTAAGGCTGGATAGAATTGGGCCAAAATTTGTTTAGGTTTGTCAATCTAAATTCTATTTTAAAAGACCTTCTACACTATATTTTTTGGGCCATATCAACGAATAAGCCAACTAAGCAAGGTTGAGTGTGTCCAATGTAACTAAATCTGTCAATACAAATATAGGTAGCCAATCAACAAAACAATCTCCATGCATTTGAAATAATAGAGTGTTGTANAAAAGAAATAATAGAGTGCGATTGGATATGACTTGTTTTTTAAAAAAAATATGTACTTTGAAAAAGTGAAATGATTTTCACATTATAAATGAATATAGAAAAACATGGTTTAAAATTCTAATTATTGTATAATAAACACTACTGAAACAAATCTTCGCAATAAATACGATGATCTGACTGTATTATAATCGCGAAGAAACGTTCCGATAAATCGGGTTACATTACATTTACAAGAAAGCGTGTTTCGTGAAAGGTAAAACGTCAATGACAGGCCACTCAGAATTGCCAGTAGCAAGTCACTAATCAAACAGTGGCAAATCACTAAAAACAAGCACCTGCTTACGCAATATCACTGAATGCATGACGTTTCACGACCCTTAAGGATTTAAAGTAAAAAAAAAAAAACGAGCTGAAGTTTGTAATAAAACCAAACATTCATGGAAAGACAAGATGTGACTACTGCTAGTTGATATACATTCTGTATCAGGTTTTTGTCTTATTTTTATAATTATTTTTTTCGGACTTTATTAATTATTATTTTTTTATTGATTTGATCTACTTTTGCTTTATTGTTATGAGTATGGCAGTGAACAAATATGGCTGAAGATCAGTTTTGCAGGTTGCTCATTTCAAGTTTGTATACAGATTGTGCTACAAATTTTAGGTCATGTTCAGAAATTGTTGTCTCAGTTGTGGTATATACAGTGGATCTTGATTTGGGATTCTGATTTTTATAAAATTTGTTTAGATGCCCTCACCACTTTGTTTTTACAGCCAATAATCCCGATATCATATATATTTTTATTTTGTGTATTATAGTATTAATTTAATAAAAACAAAGTCTATTAAAGGTAACAATGAAAATATAACGTCTAAAATGAGTCTCATAGTTAAACCAAAAAGTTATTAATTTAATATAACTACTTGTTAATACATAATGTGGGTCTATATATTTTGATTTTCTTCCCCTATAAATCTATCCGCATGCACTGTTTATGTTATCAAGAAAGGCATATATCGTTATATCTAACATTGCACGTACT